CACACCCGACTGGGGGGGGGGCCGGGGGGGGGCTGGGGGGGCCTGAGCCAACCCGAAAGGAAGTTAAGCCCATCCTGAAAATTTTTCAATGTATTCGGAATGAGCTTAATGTTTTTTCTGCTGTTCCCAAAATGGTGGCGCCGCCACTACATACGACAAACGTTACTTTATTGGTAAGGCTCACGTTAAAATCATAAGATATCAGCCTCTCTCACCTTTATTTTGATACCAGATTTTGAATCATAGGGGACAGAAAACTTCATTCGAAATGAAAATTTCTTTCACTAAAGTTAACTTTTCAGAAATAGAGTAAAGAAGATAGTTCAGCATCGCGACAGAAATATGCCGGAAGGATTTAAAGGAGGAACTTGATCTTCAAAATTTTTGCCGTGTACTCACTTTGATTTCGTATTAGTTCTTCAGTAAAAATGTCTTTTAGATAGAAATTGTGGAGTACTGAACGCATCGTAGGATCGATGTAAACTTCAAAAAGTCGCATCATGTTCTTGAAGAAAAGTCCGAGCACATGGTGCGATCAAGAACTACAGCTATGTACAACGGTGCTGTCAGACTTCCAGTAAAACTAGAATTCAAGAGCTCCACCAGAATTACGTCATCTTTTTGATCTTAAATTCTCGCGAATGTTTCTAAGTGGAATAATCATAAAAGATCATTTTTGATCTTTTTTTTTGAAAAATTTAGGTATTGTGTTCGCTATAGGAAATCCATTTTCTTTTGACTAATGAGTACAAAAAAATGTGGGGTCACCTTGATGGGGCATGAAAAAGCTCACCTAACTGCATAGAGTATCCTACAGGATAACGAGCAGGATTTAGCGTCAGCTTCCTTGGGATTCCAGATAAACTCCTAGCGTGAATGTGTTCTTCACGTACGGCAGGCGTTGCCTTATGGAAATTAAACGCGCACGGAAAAGACGGAAGCAGGTCTATTAACTTTGCAGCTGATCAACCGAGTACCTTTTGTGTCGAACAGGAGTTGAGCAACTGAATTATCAGTTTGAGAAAAGAGAAACCTCTAAAAACAACTCCTAAAAAAATTCTTTTCATTCAAAAAACCTGAAAAATAAATAAAAACCCTATATACAAGCCCTGTTGAGACAGGAAAACTCCAAATCGAATAAGCACTTCAAGGAGCGGGAGAAAAAAACAAGTGCGAGTAAGTAAAAGGCGCGATAGGAGTCTTGCTGAAGAAATATCGTGAGTCCCTGCTTAGTCACGTCGCGACACCGGGAGTCATGTCGCGACAACAGCTAGTCGCGCTGAATTTTTGATAAAACACGGGACTCACGACGCGACTTCGTGAGTCACATCGCGAGAATAAGGACTCACATCCAAATATTGGGAAAAACTTAGGGCTCACACAGCGACAGCGGGAGTCACGCCGTGAGTTTTACGAGTGGATTGGAAAAGCCCCTTTTCATCGTGAATTTATAGTGATCACGAAAATCGTGCCATATTTCGTGAGTCCGATAGCGATCAGGTTACGCACTCACGCCATGACTTTTTTCCATGACTCACGTCGCGACTTTGCCGTGAGAGTCGACCTGGGTTAGACACATGGCTGTTTGTATCAGAATTCTGATACAAACAGCCACGCGTCTAACTTACACTTTTATATAATCCCTTTTGTTTCTAGGTCAATCAATACAGAGAAAAAGTGAATATGTTGGAAACGCAAAAGCATAATTTAATTATAAACCCCTTTATTTCTCATAATTCTCTAGTTAACAGATTTTTGTTAAGTTTAAGTATAACATGATTTGATAGAGAATTTTAAGGACTGCATTCTAGTACAAAGACTTTTAAAGAGGGATTTATAATTAAATTATACTTTTGCCTTTCCAATATATTCACTTTTTCTCTTTATTGACTGACCTAGAAACAAAAGGGACTATATAAAAGTGTAGGTTAGACACGTGACTGTTTGTATCAGAAGGCCGTTTGAAAAAAGATTTAGTGATTAAAGAACTAAATTAATTTTAGTGCAACTTATGTAGTGGGGTCTATAAATTTGTCGTACTCTGTAGACCAACCTATTGTTGCAAATTCAGTTTGGACAATCAATACAGACGCAATAGACTGGATAGGCAAATGCGACTTATAGTAGAATCGGCAATATTTTAGCTATAGTGTAACAACCAACTTTTTCGCCATCCTAGAGATATGTAAAATAAAATAAAAACTGATTTGCCAAACTGAATAAGTCTATTTTACCGAAATCGGACCAAAACTTGTTAAATATTAAAACGTTTGCTTAGCCGTCACACGCGCTGGTACCTGCGAAATTACTATCTGAAAGACAGGCTAAGCGAAAAAGAAAAGAACAAACAATTTGTGGCGTAAACTGATATATTTTTACCAACCTTTCTCACTTAAACGACAGCTTAAAGTGAAGGACGATCTCGCGGTCATTTTTGGTGAGGATGCTTAGAATAAACTGTGACTATAATGAACACCTGGAACACAAAAACACACACAGGCTGTTCTCGCAAAGAATCGCTTACCTCTTTCTTCCTTTCTAATCAAAAAACGACCATCTTCAAGATCAACAAAACGACAGTCTGCACTACTATCATAAGATCCATTAAGCCATCCGAGAGGACGCCTGTTTTTCTCCTGATCAGTGGAAGAAATCAAGACCGTGAGCGTGTTGTATATATGTAAAATATATATGTAAAAATTAGATGTGTTGCTCGCTAGTCGCCCATACTGCCCAAAAATCATAGAAACCTAGAAAGGTTTCTGGAATCCCTCTAATGTAACCATCAGACTCGGAAACATAGCTCTGCTCTTGACCATGACCAGTGCCTCTTTCTCAGAAAATATCAAGATCAGACCAAGATTTACTGTTTGTCTGATCAGTAGAAAAAACAGACTATGTTGATCTGGGTGATAAAACAAAAGACTCTCTATTCACAAACATTTGAACCATGAACAAAGTGTATCATCACGACAATGATTCAGACCGATCTGGAAAATAGCACTATTGCGATGAAAGTACTAACTGGAGTCTTAATTCTTTCTGTTGATTTCTTTTCTTTTTAAAGTAATACTGGATACTGAATCCTCAAAAGAATTAAATCGACTGAGATGTCATACGATCATCAGGGACCGTTGGCAATACTAACAGCAGCGAAAAACAGAGGTTTTTAGATGACTCTCATCATTTCTAAATCTAATATTTTTTGATGAATATTCTCTTGTCTTTCTAATTTCATATATACAGATACATTTTTTTTTGCAATTAGAATCTCATTTCCTGAACATGGATGGTTGAATGTGCCTAGTCTTACACTGACTGAGCCCATTCTAGAATGCATAAAAATGATACTTTCATAAAAATCAGTAAACTTTTTTCAAAGTTAGACTCTCAGCTTTATTCAAAAATTCCATCTTTTTCTTAACCATTTTATCGTTTTTTTGTTCTTTTTATCATAAATAATATAATTTTTATCTATATTTACTTCCATGCTTATGCTTGAAACAATTTTTCTTATTTTGTTTCTTCATGTTATAACCGTACAAAGCTTGCAGGGTCAACTTAGTTTATCCTGCGGTGACGTTTATCTTTCTTATCATTGGAGAGCATCACATCAGCATCGGATACCGAGTATCTCACGTTTCGGAAAGCGTTTCAACAGCTCCGAAAAGCTCCCGGAGCCGCCTTTTCTTCCTTGGAAATTCTGCAGGACTTTTAAAGTGTTTGTTTCAGTGGATAAAAGAACCATTTCTGGAGATTGTTCTTAGTTTTGATTCGCTATAAGCGATAACAACAATATTATGTTTTACAATTCTACGAAGTTTTTTATACAAATATTCTGTTCGATAGTTATTCAAAAAGTATCAAAATTCTTTGTATTTGACATTTCGAATAACAAGTACGAAGTAGGACCGTATAGAAACTATTGCGTACTCGGATATTTCATTTGTTTAATTTTTAAAATGCAGAATTAGATAACAAAAAAAGTTACAACTTGAGGTAGGCATACATTACACATGCTTAGAGATAACGATTGTTGCCTATTCTTTTCCATGTTTCTATCAATAATCATTATTTATCTAAACATATAAGAAAAAGTCCAAAAATAATTCTGAATGTCATACAGCACGAAACCAGAATTAAAAGCAGAAAAACCTTTTCACCTTTTCTTTTTGACATTCTATTGTAAATAATCCCTCATTTAATGGTATGAACATCACACTCCTCCCCGGACATCAAGATTTTAGATCTTAAGAAGTGTTAGTTAATTTAAAAAAACAACTAATGAATATTTGCAGTACAGAAAAACGAAAATAAACCTTCAGCGCTGCTAGATATAGTTTCCGCATGAAAGACTAACAATAAATAGATGTACTGTCTCTATCCAATAAAATAGTGAACTCAGCTACCTTCGAATAATTCAATAACGAAAAGAGTGGATAAGTCACAGGTTTTGCTATTTGTTTTAGAGAAAATCGAGACATGTGAAATATTTTATAGATTATTCGACTTCCTTCTTTCACATGAGAAAGAGAAGTCAGAATATAGCAATGCGTCTGAAATAAAAAGAGTCTTCTAGTGCAGACGCTCCAAAGAAATTCGATGTCACGCTCGAATCATTAATAATCAAGGTCTCACTTCATGCCCATTATCGAGAGCACACTTTAGACTATCTGTTCACTCTATTGTCACTTTATCCTTCAGTGGACTACACTAATTTCTCAAAACTTCTCTCAAAACCCATTGACGGCATACGATTCCGCACAGTGAACTCATGTCTCGATCTTCTTTAAAACAAGTAAACTTATCAGCAAAAAAACGACTTATCAGCTCTTTTCATTATTGAATTATTTGAAGACGATCGAGTCTACTATTTCATTCGCAAACATGTGCTTATTCAAGACTCACTTATTAAAACAAAGTGTACAAATAAAACAAAAACTGTCTTTACTTCAGCTGATATAATCCAAAAATTCTTTACGCCGCTGCGTCATACCATCCGTGTAAACATTTTGGCACTGGTCCATTTGTACAAAATTTAACTCGTCCAATTTCAGTCATTTGCATAGCATCCAAAATAACTAAACTAACTTCATTTTCAATACCACTACGAAGTAAAGAAATGATAATTACACCGTCGTCTTCATGCTACGCAATATAAAAGAAAAATTAGTTGATATGTAAACTTAAATATGTATGTGAGGAATTAGTACCTTAGCATTTGGTCTTGGTAAAAATATAGGCTCAGATGTATAGCAATTTTCATCATACCATAATTTATGCGTTTTTGTTAAAGTATCTATTTTTCTCACTGCTCCACAATGTTCATAATCAATATCGGTATTTATCGCATAAAAATAACGATAAAATTTTCCCATATAGTTAAAATAATCAATTTGTGGTAATTCACATCCAACATCAGCCAGTAACTCTGGTTCTATCCAAATTTGGTTTCTTAAATTATTCATTACTGTAGCTCGAGCGCTTGTGTAGTTCAAATGGACAAGATTTTCACTATTGACAAATGATGTTATAACAAGTGGTAAAACAAAGCGTTTTGGACGACTTCGAAATTGATCGGCATATTTTGGGTTATATTGAGCATTCTGTAATAAGAAAAAGATAGGGGTGACCAGATAGTCAATATTTGATGATTGTACCGTACAAATGAAACGGTATTTCTAATTTTACCTCCAAGGCTTCTATTGTCATACACTTTAACATGTCCGAATTCTCATAACAACAAATATCCACAATCAAATGATTATCATCTTCGTATGCATTAATCATGTGCAGAAAAAAGAAAGCTGTTGTTAAATAAATGTATTTGACTTCTTCCAAGGTTGATTGATGAATAATTCGAAATCGCACCTGAAATAACCAAATATAGTTTTTATTTATTGACTTAGTTATATTAAATGTGGAGAATGAAATACTACCGGTTCATTATACCATACAAGTGCATCAGCTAATGGTCCCTTAGTAACTATTATTTTGGCCATATTTACAATTGATATACATAAAGATTGTTCAACTAGTATAATAAAATTCTTAGTAACACCAAATGTATGTACATAAGCAGGATTTAATGTCCATCGACTGTTGATAGATGTTAAAATTTTACATTGAGTCATCCTATTATTGGTATTAACGTTTTCATCTGCTAAAAATAGACACACGAAGTATAAATTGATATTTTACTGTTAGTTGTATTGATCGAACCTGCACATATTGGAGGAAATTGAAATATTACGTATTGCATGCCTTTACGACCAGTTGATAAACCAACATTAAGCATTCTACCATCTTCAACAATGACAGGATGAGGACACTGTGAGACTATGTTAAGATAAATACCAACATCAAATTTAGACATTGTCTTTAGATTTATTGGATCAATTTGATGCATAATGGGAGTCTACAGAAAGATAGAGAAAATTAAAACTTCTATTACTATGTGCTATAATCGCATAGCAACCTCTGTCATGGCATATAAGGAATGTTGACCAGGTTTCGTTTGATACGGATACAAACTAATCATTGCATTATCAGTACGAAAATCATTGCTAGTAAATAATCCATCCAACCTAAGAAAGATTAAATCTGTAACGCTCTTTTCAAGTACAAAAAGTGATCAGTTTCTGATGATTTACTATTCATACTGATATCTAAAATATGAACACTATCTACTCACGATTGGAGAATTTTTGCTGGCATATTCATAATCGATAATAAAGAAATTATTCTGTTTTCTTCTCTGACATTCGTTCTCGATACTGATGTACCATATTCAGAATAATGCATTCTACCAGACTGTTTAGCTTTTTTGTATGCATCGGATTGTAAAATACAATTCTGATAGGTTACTATACCATTATTAATTGTAAACCTGAATTCACATATTTTTAATACGAACATTTTTCCGATCTATCGTAAAACTTACTTTTGTAGCAAAGCAAATGCATCAAATAAATGTTTTACTCTTGTTTCGCAAGCATCAAGTAAACCAGGACCATTCTGGTATAAAGCACCATTTATCCATTTAGGAATAACTCCTAAATTATTAGTTGTTTTTTAGAAGACGTATCAGTATAAATTTAAACATGATTATACAGTGAGTTCTAAAACTACTCTAACACTATTTTTTAAATTTTTTCTTTAAAACGTAACAGTTAAAAGAAATTAGAAAAGTGATTACAATAGCTGAAAGATAGTTTCTATTTAGAACATGTATGAGTAAAAACTACGACAAAATGATTAGGGTATTTCTAAAAGACACGAATATCCAAAAAAGTGTGCCAGATTCATCTCTAGGTTGTTCTGAGCGTGATGGTACCATGTTCAACTCGATTTTTTGTTCTAGTTGAAAATGGTATCAGTATGATCAGAACAACCTGGAGATGAATTTGACGCTTTTTTGGGTGTTCTTACCCTTTCGTTTAGGTGTTCGTGAATGTTCATTGAAAATGTATGCTTAAAAAGCGAAACTATAAAGTTTTTTTGGGTGTTCGTTAGGCTTCGCTATACTCAGCTCGACGAGCTCTATTGATTGGCTAACTTCGATTTTAATTTGCGAGTGTTCTTGGGTGTTCGCGTCGTTTAGTAATACCCAAACTATTAAAAACTCGATCAGTAAATCAAAATTCTAGATAACCTAGTTGCTTGATTTCAATGGAAACTTTTCGCAAACAACTTACTCACATACAGCAAAAGTGCTGGACAAAGTGACTGCTGCTTTTAGCTAGTTTTACCCATCTAAAATCTTATTATGGTCAAGAGAAAAAGACAAAAATGAAGTCTGTTGGATGATTTTATAACTCACTGTACAAGTGATTATAGTACACTTAACTGTCCGATTGAATAAATAGAAATAGAAAACAGGTTGTTGTCTTTGGTCAAGAACTTTCCGGAAAAAGTGTTTTCGAACATATCACAGGATTTTCGTCTGTTTCGAAAGTACTTGACCAAAGACAACAACCTGTTTTCTGTAGCCCACATCGAGTACATGCAAGATATATGTTATCCCACGTCCTGGAATCCCGTAGAATGATGCAGCCCGTATTTAAATTTTGAAGAACGAGGAAAATCGTCTCTAAGAGCTGTTCTTTTCTATCATTAAATGTTTTCCAATCACAATGCGAACCCCTTTATCTGATAGAACTTGAAAAGACGCATCGAATGCATATCTGGCTGTCTTGTGTTTATGTGATTTTATTGGGAAGAAATGGTTTACAAAAAGAAAAAAACGACGTTTTTAAATATTTTCCTGAGAACGTGCTTAAGGGTACCCCCCGCTCCTTTTTGACTCTCTTGAAAACCGGGGAAGCCGATGTCTGATCGGCGGTGAAAATTTTACCTCAGATACTTTACACCCTATCCCAGGTTTACTTTTTTTCCTTTTTTATTGGGGACTTTCCGGATTTTTTTTGGATATCTCGAGAAGTAAAGCACTGGTAAAACTTCCACCTTGATCGGACCGTGTTTTCGACGGGTCATAATGTGACCTGATGAAAACCGAAGCTTTCGAGAAAACCTATAGAAGAACATGTCAGGAAAATCTGAGCAAAAATACTTTTATTTTCTTTTTCGATGTTCTATCTCTGATATAAATTTCACCCCGATCAAACATCGGCTTCCCCAGTTTTCAACAGGCTCGAAAAAGAGGAGGGGGAGGGGAATACGCTTCACATTTTGGAATTTTTTAGCTCTGCAATATAGAAACTAATCTGATGGTACCAGCTCATGCGAGTATTTCACTAAAAAAATGGTGAAAATGCCTACAAAAGGACTGTTTCGCAGGGAAATGGGATTTCCACAGGTCTAGAAGGTCACCATGCAGTTGTTTTAAAATTTTTTAAATTCGTCATTAGGAGCCCGAGTTGTACCTAGTCCTGTTACTCTCGAACAATTCGGACAAAGTCGATGTAAATGTGGTATATTCTCTAAAGAAAGGCCCTTGTTAACTTTAGATATTTAAAAGAAATTGAAAAAATTCAAACGATCATAATATTGATCCTATTATGAGTGTTTACCTGAAACATGTCCATAAATTGGCTGTTCATTTAGCCCATTTTCTGTTACTGATCTAAACCAGATCGTAAAATCACAATTCGGGTAAAGTTTAACACGTTGATGAGCCATTGCATAAGCACGTGAAATTCACATAATTCAACTCTTTTCTTTCTCACTCATTTTTTTCCTATCTAACCTAAGAAAAAACATTCTGTCTTTTTTTCTACTTATGGTTCGAAACTAATAATTTATGTCTGTTCATTACTAAGAATTATATGTAGAAATAGAGAAGAGAGAAAATAATGACAAATGAAATATATAACTAGAATAAACACGATACACTGTCAGAATGCTACTCTAGTAGGAAAAAAAGAGATAATGAGAAAAAATAGCTGATGACAAAAACAATTCAAGCGAAATCAAACTATGGAGTTACATTCCATCGTAAGAACTAAAAACAAAGATATAAACCGAGATTAAAAACGATTTTTTATAAAACTGTAGGCTCTTCACTGGCTCAACCAACACGCACAAGGAATTTCAAACGCCATAATCATCATCATTGTAGCCTTCTGTTTTGCAAGCTGATTATATCGGGTGATAGCCTTTTTGTCACGTTAATTTTCGTCACAGAGAAAAAAGAACTTTCGTCACACGTGAAAGTGTATGACATTTTCGGGGAAGTACCACTCCACACTTTGGTCACAAGAATGGTGAACTTTCGTAACCAACTGTGTAACGTACCTACAACTTTCGTCGCACCAATAACGTAGAACTGCTTACATGTGGACTACTGCAGCCCTAGACAAAAATTTTTTGCTAAAACTGATAGGATTCTTATAAGAATCTTATCAGTTTCTTATATAAGATTGTTTAAGATTTCCCATCGACAGTCGTAAGTGTCTTATAAGAATCTTATAAGATT